ACAAGGAAAAGAGCACATTGGGATGTAGATTTTGCTCACTCTTCTATATGATGAGCCATCTTTTCACACAGAGTACACTGAAAGATGCAAAATAAAATGCCAGAATTGTAAATTGATGTCTATTCTGTTAGATACTCTTCATAAACTTTCTTCTCTCCTCTTTCTCTTCTTTTTTTCCCCTTTTCTTTGCTTTTCACATTTTATCATGACTTAGCTCACACTGCCATCTAGAGGTTTTAAAAACAAAAAAATCCCCATCTAAAAACAGCATAGCAAGAGCTGTTGTAACATATGAATAGGATGAAATGCATTTGAAATGCATTTGTTACACATGGTGGATCACAGTCACTAGAAGAGAAATTTCAAAATTGACAAGATATCTATTTAAACAAGCAAAGGTACCAAATCTTTTATGAAACAAAACCCCTGGAGGAGTTTTGCCATTGCTATGGTTTTTGGTCTTTTCTGATGTAGATGGAATGGCTGTGCAAATCTTTCAAAAGTATTTGTCTTCAACATTTGGAGGAATAGAATAGAATAGAATAGAATAGAATAGAATAGAATAGAATAGAATAGAATAGAATAGAATAGAATAGAATAAGTATTCTTTATTGGCCAAAGTGTGAATAGACACACAAGGAATTTGTCTCTGGTGCATAAACTCTCAATGTACATACAAGCAACAAGTGATAAATCATGATCATAATCATAAAACACATTCATCATAAATCATAACATACAATCAACAAATTTTAGTCATAAGATACCAATAGGAGTAGGTAATAGGAAAGATGAGAAGGATAATATGAAACACCTCTCTTTGAATAATTAAAACAGCGACATCTTTTTCTAAACTCAGGCAGCAATTTCCAGATGCCTCTATGTACATGTTCATGTACAACCACTTCACTTCACTGGAAAAAAAATACTTAAATGTTGGAGAGAGGTAGTCTTTTTATAGGAATTTTCTTTATTAGACCAGTATGGCATTTGTCAGCCAACTGTTGTTGTTTTTGTTGTTGTAGCGATCTCTCTTGAATGGTAAGATTTCATAAACTGCAACTGAGAGAGGATCATTGGCTTGTGAGTTTGGCAACTTTAAGCCATGTATCTTAGATGCACTGAAGATAGTATTTGTTTGTTTGTCTTATTCCTTCAATTATAAACAGTGTCTGTAGCAACTAATATATAAAATAAAGGAAGGTCTGGAAGTGAGCAAATAATTGTTATTGTTTGGTAGTAAAATACTCCTCCATATTTTTTAAGCAGCTGGTAGAAATCTCTGCATCTTACTTTGGATTCTTTTGAAGTACATGTAACCTTCATTCTGAGTCTAGGGATGGAACCCGGAATACTAAGGTGTTCTGGAACAAATGGCATCTGAGTTAAACTCAGGCTTTAAGGACACTGTGGCAATGAACCAACCTATGGAATTCTGATCCAATTACAAAGAACAATAACCTTATAGCGGATTGCTGCAAGAATCTATGTTGACTCTCTGTCTTTCAGCTATTAGCAGTGCTCAAACAGGATTACGCTACCAAAAAATGTATTGCTTCAAGAAATCCATATAGAATCTCCTTTCTTCAGTTGGGGAACAATCAACTGAGAAAGAAGAACAGCACAAGTAGGTGGCAATCAAAGTTCACAAAATGGTCTGATGGAAAAGTAATCACAGATGTTTTCTGTGGACAAGATGTGAGATGTACTTTGAAATCTTGAGCCCAACTGAAAAAAGGATGATAATAAAAGAATGGAACATCTGTATTTGTACCTGGTGGTCCTCTTAGTTTGAAAAAGCATTCAAAGCTATGAAATATACCTCTACACAGCCCTCATCTGGCCATGAACCATATGAAATTTATGAAATAAAAAGTTAATTTTACAATGGTGATCACTGTTTGGTAGGATTTCTCAGAATACTCTGCTATAATCAAGCATTTTGCTACAGATGAAACATTTTAACAGGAGAGATAAAGCAAGTGTGAACCAAATGCAAACTGTACCTTATACTATACATTTGCAAACTAGTATCAGCTTCCATTAGTTTTGCCATGTATTATCAGCAACCATTCTTTGTTAACTGACAGTAATCTTGCATGTTGCTTTAGTAGTATATTCTTACATTGTTTCATTTTCATTTTCACATTTTATTCATAATAATAATAATAATTATTATTATTATTATTNATAAATATTAAATAAAAAGCCTGCTCTAAAATACCCCATATAAAAACCCCTACCAAAACACAATCAGAACTACGCATGGAATAGATGGGTTTTCAAGGCTCGGTGAAAGAGGCGCAGGTCCGTAGTTGTACGCAAGAGTTTAAGCACCAAATTAGATTTATGGTTTGGGACGTGAAAAGAAAATAGGAATAAGAGGAAATGGGGAAAAATAGGAATAATTTGGGTTTAGTTTTGGTTTTTTACTCTAGACGGTACACTTGAGCCCACCTTTGCAACCATATAGCAGTGTGGATAAAACATTAGAATGAAAGGCTGCACACTTCCAATTTTTTTCCTCAGATGCCCACTAACTTTGCCTCTTTCTCTGATTCATCCTCCAGGGAGAACCTCAGCTGCCATCCTGCCCTTAACACAGACTGTGTCACAGATAGGGCTTCCATAAACTGTGTTGCCCTTCTGACGAAAGGGAGATGAAAATAAAATTCCCATAATTCAAGTTCTGAGCCTTGCAGCCTACAGCTCTGTAGCTAAACATTTCAGCATTTCTTTCCTCCGTTGAGAGAAAAACCAATTATGAAAGAGATATACAAAATCACACACACACATATGTATACACAAGGGATAAACTCAATACACACACACACACATATATACACATACACATACATACATACATACATACATATACACATATACATATACATACGCATACACACACACACACACACACACACACACATATATATATATATATATATGCATGCATATGCAAAACATAGCATTCCAGGCATTTTACAAGATGGTTCTGTCTTACTATAATCAGTGAGATAGATTTTCAGTTCCTAAATTAATATGAAGAATTTAAAAATGGGAAAACAGTCTGAGGTTACACAGAATGTATCACTAGTAGGAAATAGTAGTGTCAATAAGGCTACAAACACAAACAGACAAAATAAATTAAAGTTTAACACAATGTCTAAGGAGAGGAGTTACCTATTCCTTACAGATAGCCAGAATCCTGAAGCAAAGTCCTCTGCTCCTTTGTCCCTGGATCTCCCACAGTCTTGGGAGACAATTCCAACTATTTATAAGGTTGTTGGAGAGATAGTACACAATAACATATTGTTTCATTCCTCTGAGTTCTGCACTGGTCTTCAAAGAGTCTGAATCTGTGATAAACAAGGGTCAGCTAAATCAAGGTTGTGCTTGATTCCTGTGCATGTGCTTCTTCCATAGATTGAATTACCAGTAGAAATGTTGGTAAGTACCATTGCTTATAGCCAAGATGCCATCCTGCCAGTGCACCCATATAAATTGGTTAGTCCAGAGTTATAGTACAATCTGAGTTCTTCCTTGTGACATCTTATGTTTTTCTATTGGTACCTACTTTGCTATCATTGCATCAGACCCTAATAACCAAGAAATTCCTTGTGATTTTACTTGATTCTGTAGAATTATATGATTAATTAATCCTCACTTGCAGCTTCTTCATCGTGGGTCCATGGGTTTTGCAGAAGGAACCAGTAAGTCATTCCTCCTGAATAAACTGAGTTACATTCCATTCAAATGGAATGATTTTTGCATCCAAGTCATAAAGTAGAGATCATTTTAGTCTATAACAGTAGAAGTGTAATGATACTAGAAATCAAAGAGTTTCATGAGTAAACATATGGAAAGAATCACCAGCAGAGAACTGATTTCTAAAGAAGCAGCTATCTGAGATAAATTGTAAATTGCTTGTCTCATATCTTTTTTTCTCTCTATGATTTCTTGGAAGACCTGTCATTTCTAGTACTTCTCACTAATTCCCCACCCACCCACAGTTCATGGAAAATCTATCAGTACTGTTCAAATCATAGCCAATTTAGCATACCAGAGTTATAATCTGTATATTCAGTACAATAATTTATAACTAGATTGTAACGCAGAAAATTAATCTTTATATTTTTTATTGTCCATATATCAAAGAGTTGTCACTGAGTAAACATCAACCTTATTGAAAGGACAGCCCTATGAGCAAAACAAAAACAAAAACCTAGAAACAAAAAGACAGCACTAAAAATGCAAGAGATCAAATTTAGTAATGGTTATCGGCTTCCCCATATTTCATGCTATTGGTTTTTTTATTAGGGTTACACGTGGACACAAATAACTCCTTGCTGCTGCAATCTTTGGAGTTACTAACTCAAATTAAATTGAAGCAAAAGGTTCTGAAGGACAGAAGTTACTTTTGAAGTGAACCAACAATGGGGAATTTCCTTTAGTAAGAGGGACATTTTTTAAAAAACAAGAAGTTATATAGCCTTCAAGGCCCTCTATGGCTGGTGCCATCAGAACATAATTGAAATAAGCAGAGCCCAATTTTTCATCTTTTGGTGAAGGAGACTGGGTAGATTTAATAGGCTTTTACTCCTCCGTGGGAAAAGCAAGCAGAATTGAAGGCTCTTTTGGGAACAGACTGAAACCTTTAACCTCCTCAAATCACTACAGTTTTAGCCATGCTCATTCTGGGAAAGTGGAGAGTCCCTAAGGATTGCAAAAGTAAGATGGAACATATGAGTGGCTGTAGGGTCTACCACTGAACTAAGGAACTTTGTTTTCCTGACAACACCCTTTTCCCAATAATACCACTAGCATTGATACAATGGTCCTCTGCACCTGTTGAAAGTTTAAGTGCATAGTATATAATTATATGCTAATTCTAATCATATATTCTATATATATATATTTCCATAAAAAATTGCTCATAATAAATCAAACAAACACTAACCCACACAAATGCAATTGAACAGATAATTCAAAACGTATACTGCAAAAATATATACCACTTTATGAGACATCAATTACACGGTCAACAGACAGGTGAAAGCAATAAGGATAGTGGAGGAAGAGGAGGAGGAGGAGGAGGAATTTTTAACACCGAATAATGCATTTTCTTTCTTATTGCCTCCATTGAAAAATGTTAAAAGGTCTCAATAAAGTTCATAATTCTGGTCTGTCAGTCATTTTACTTCTTAAAGAGAAATATTTTTACTTTTCAAGTATTTATGACAATGGAGAACATAAATGAGCAATTAATAAATATGGTGGTAGAATCTCAGTCAGAACCATAACTAGCAATCACTGTATTATTAAGGTAGAATGCAACGAAAATTCTACAGCAGCCATCTTCATTTAGTGCCTTCTTGGTCAGTAGAGATCTCAAATGTCAATCTGCTGGCCATCTTCCCACTTGCTGTTTGTTTTTATGCAAATAGCATGGTTTAATGCAATTCTCACACCATCCATTTTTCCATAGGAGCATTTGTATCCTACAACTTAAGTCAAAGATGAAAGGATGTCTGAGAAAATAACCCAAACGAGGTTTCAAGGATGTCTTCTCCAAGAGGTTGCAAGAAGTCCCTCACTAACTCCCACAAACACCTACAAAAAAGAACAAAACAGTAAAGCAGACATGTCAAACACAAGGCCCGGGGGCCAGATGCGGCCCGTGAAGTGGTTTCATGTGGCCCACGAAGCCATCCTGGAAACAGTGAGGGAACGGCCCCTGCTGTCTTGGCCCTGGCCCAGGCCGGCCGGGAGGGAGCCACTGTACAATTTTGTGGTGGCCATCTATGCTGAAATGCATTCAGTCTTAGCTCCACAAGGCCGTCCAGAAACAGCAAGGAACCAGCCCCTGCTGTGTTGGCCCCGCCCCCTGGGTAGATGCTGGGGAGGTGTCACCCTTTGTGAGGAATGAAGAAATGCACCATGCCTTGGCACTTGCCCCAGTCCCACCCCCTTCTGCCAGAGACTCTCAGATCTGTCCCACTCCTGCCGAGGCCCCCACAGGCACCCTTGACATGACCGATATAGAGCTGGCCATGCCCACCCAGTAGGCCACACCCACTCCATCCACGCCCACCCAGTAGGCCGCACCCATCCTGGCCACATCCACCCGGCCCCCCAAGGGCAACCGCAATGCTGATGCGGCCCTCAATGAAATTGAGTTTGACACCCCTGCAGTAAAGGAAAGGCACAGTTGTGGGATTCAGCCAGTTCACACCAGTTCAGCAGAACCGGTAGCTAATTTTTTGTTGCTCAGGCCCAGAATGGACTTCCAGAAGCAGCATCCACATAGAGAGCCGGTTGTTCCAATATTTGAATCCCACCACTGGAAAGGCATACTTATAACTAAAGTTTATTATTGGAAGTATTTGACAGTTATCTTCCCCAATTGGTTCCTCTTCTGATGTGATATATTGATATATTATCAATATATATATTCTGATGTGATATATTATCATTCCAAACAAGATGGCTACATCAGGAGAGAATCGGTCTGGCATAGTAACCATTCCATTATTCCCCTTTCTTTATATCCATATACCTGAAAAATACCACCCACCATCTTTTCTCTTCAAAATGATTTAACATTAATTAAGTCAGGACAGATGTTCTAAAGAAGATGGCCTATTACAGAAATAATGAACAATACTTGTTTCAATGGTTTGCCAGTATTTTTATTTACTGCAGATTCCTGTTGACAAGGCCACAAAGACTTTTATTTCTTAGTAGACATCTTCCTGCATCTGCTTCTTATATGTGATCAAGGGAAGATACAGATTTTTAGTAATAGTGTAAGATTAATATTCTAGCCTGTGTACATGGATTCTGTAGAAGCCTTGGCCCTTTCCTTAGCTATCACTATTTTTTTTAAAATCCAAATTAAGCCTGGTGGTCTTAAGACTGGAAAAATTAGGATTGTCAGAGTGCAAATTGGGGAGAGGGAATCAACGCATGGGGAAAATATAGAAAAAATGTTTGTTTCATTGTGACTACATTCATTCTCTTTCCCTTGCTTTTCCCCACATGGACCTTGCCATTTAAAACATTATATTTCATTATTGTATTTGACTGCATTTCATTTTTATGCCAACTTCTCACTCACCATTTGGAATAATCTTGAATAATAGAATAACAGAGTTGGAAGGGACATTGTAGGTTTTGTAGTCCAACCCCTGGCTCAACCAAGTGGCTGTCCAGTCTCTTCTTGAAAGCCTCCAGTGATGAAGCAAGCACCCACAATTTCTGAAGGCAAACTGTTCTATTGGTTGATTGTTTTCACTGTCAGAAAATTTCTCCTTATTTCTAGGTTGAACTTCTCCTTGATCAGTTTCCATCCATTGTCCCTTGTCTTGCCTTCTGCTGCTTTGGAAAATAGGTTGTCCCCCTCCTCTCTGTGACAGCCCCTCAAATATTGGAACACTGCTATCATGTCACCCCTGGTCCTTCTCGTCACTAGACTAGCTATGCCCAGTTCTTGCAACCATTCCTCATATGTTTTAGCCATATGTTTCACATGTTTGATGCAAAAAGGAAAAAACAGAACAGAACAGAACAGAATAGAATAGAATAGAATAGAATAGAATAGAATAGAATAGAATAGAATAGAATAGGAGCTGGAGAGGACCTTGGAGGTCTTCTAGTTCAGCCCCCCACTCAAGCAGGAGAACCTATACCAGGGGTAGGCAACCTTGGCTCTTTTATGACTCGTGGACTTCAACTCCCAGAATTCCTGAGCCAGCATGAGTCATAAAAGAGCCAAGGTTACCTACCCCTTATCTATATCATCTCAGACAAGTGATTGTCTAGTCTCTTCTTAAAAACCTGCAGTGATGGAGTGCCCACAATTTCTGAAGGCGAGCTGTTAATTGTCCTTACTGTTAGGAAGTTTCTCCTTAATTCCAGGTTGCTTCTCTCTTTGATCAGTTTCTAACCATTGTTTCTTGTCCTGCCCTCTGGTGCTTTGGAGAATAATTTGACCTCCTCTTCTTTGTGGCAGCCCATCAAATACTGGAATACTACTATCATGTCACCCCTATTTCTTCCTTTCTTTAGACTAGCCAAACCCAAGTCCTGCAGCCATTCTTCATGTGTTTTAGTCTCCAGGCCTTGGATCATCTTAGTTGCTCTTTGAACTTTTTCCAAGGTCTCAACATCTTTTTTGAAGTATGGTCACCAAAATTGGTTGCAGTATTCCAGATGTGGTCTTACTAGGATTTTTATAAAGTGGTACTAATACTTCACGTGATCTTGATACTATGCCTCTGTTTATACAACCCAGGATTGTATTAGCTTTTTTGGCAGCTGCTGTATATTGCTGGCTCATAGTCAAGTGATCGTTCACTAGGACTCCAAGGTCCCTCTCAGAGTTACTGTTTTTGAGCCAGGTCTCACCTAATCTGTACTGATATCTTTGATTTTTCCTGCCTAAATGTAAAACTTTGCTCTTCTCCACATTAAAACTCATTTTATTGGATAGGGCCCACTGTTCAAGTTTGTCAACATGTTTTTGAATCCTGAGCTTGTCTTCTGGGGTGTTGGCTATATATTGCAATATAGTCCATATTAAAAAATAAATATACTAAAGATACCTGGGGGGGAACCATAAAACCAGTGAGGATTTCACAACTCAGAAGAAATGAGTCTTATATTGTGTCCTCCAGTCAGTGAAAATCGTAACTGAACTTAGGAAACTGTAGCTTTGGGGATGAAATAGATGCACTGTTAATCTCTTCCCTGCTGATCATTAATACCATTCAAAGACACTGAAGAACAGCCAGGGCAAACAGACAAGGCAGTTCTGACTACATACAACAGAACACTGACCCATAGTTCTGCTTCCAAGATGGATGTGGATTCTCCTTTCTCCCTGGCTTTCAGAGTCACTCATCTGTTAGTGTAGAGCAGTGATTCTCAACCTCAACAACTTTAAAATGTCTGAACTTCAACTCCTAGAATTCCTCTGCCAGCATGCTAACTAGGGGATACTAGGAGTTTGAAGCCCACCGGTCTGAAAATTGCTGAGAAATATGGGTGAAGCTTCACAAATACTTCACAAGTTTCTGAAACAATCATCACAACATAAAGAGAACAAAATCTGAGAGCACTCTCGTGTATAAGCTATCTTGTGCAAATATTCTCACCTCACCATATTATTTAAAACAATACAAATTTGCACTTTACTAGGAGCAAAACTACCTTAGGAGTTTAGTGCATTTTTTGAAAACTTTAATAAGGACAACTTTTTTAATTTTCTCAGGGCTAATTACTTTTAATTATTAGCAGGTTCTACAAGACTAAACTGGTGCTCCATTATTTCTAACTAAATGACTTAATTATTACTTTTAATAATTTTTGGACGGTGATATTTCTGAAGTTTTAAAATAACATTGCATATCTTTAACAAACAAAGATGGGTTTTTTCCCACTCCCGTCGTAATTATTTTCATTCTTCTTACAGGAATGCAAGCTGACCCTATCCTCTTAAGTTTCGTCTTGCTTTTATAATATGTATGTCTCTTTTCATGGTATAATGGACAGTAGCAGATGTTTTTCTTCACCCTGGAAAAATCCTTCCATTGACTGAGCAATAATAACTATTAATGGGAATTTGTCATTAATAATTATTCATGTATTAATTAGTAATTACCAATGGGAATTAGTTCATGTTCAAAGCACTATTGGTGATGTATGATCACTCATCATCAGAGCTTCACGTCGTTTATCAAAAACTGACACAGAACTACTGTTGAACAACTCATAAGCGTGGAGATATAAAAACTTTCAAAAAGATATTAGTACACATGATTTTTCATAATTGAGTTTAGTTTTCATAGCACTAAGTGGTGAGATCATTACAGAGCCCTACATAAAATATATTGTGGAAAATAACCTGTGGTAGGTGTGTGTGTGTGTGTGTGTGTGTGTGTGTGTGTGTGTGTGTGTGTAAAAATAATTTTTAAAAATGTTTTGGAAGCAGTATTTTCATACAGAAAGGCCTTCGTTCCATTTCTGATGGGCATAGGTTCTTGTTTAAGCAGAGAAAAAGAAAATGTCCTCCTGATATACACAGGACTGTTTTCTACTGTTTGTACTACATTACATGGAAAAGGGGGTAGATGCCAAGCATGGCCAACAAACTCAATACAATTTAAGCCCTATTTAGTTTCCATTAAAACCTTCAGACTTACCTCTGGTTTGCTTCATTAAACTTCTGCCTTCTTAGTGCTGCTCTGATACTATGTTCAGCATCCTATCACACAAAACAATTCACGATCGGATTATTACATTCTGCATTACAAAGCTATAAAACACATCATATTTATTATCTCAGGAGTCTTTAGTCATGCCCAACAAGTGCCATTCTTAGTGCCCTTCTGACTCTTTCAGCCTTCTTGCTACAGCCATTGGAAACAATATAATATCTGCTGTTAGTGCATAGCAGGCAGGTAGCACAAAGCAGACTTCTTCTCCTACACTTTGGGAACCAATGATACAATAATGATTCTGAAAACAATAACAAGAGATTATGAACAGCTATGGAAGAAAGTTAAAGAATTAAGAGCACAAGTGGTGTTTTCATCTATACTTTCAACAAAAGGCCAACATCCAATGAGGGAGCAAAGGATTTTAGAAACGAACCACTGGCTTAAAAACTGGTATCGTCAACAGAACTTCAGCTTCCTAGACCATGGTCTGCATTACCTACATGAAGGGCTACTGGCAAGGGATGGACTGCACCTCACAAGAACGGGAAAGAATATATTCGGAAAATGATTGGCTTGTCTTATCAAAAGGGCTTTAAACTAAAATTGAGGGAGGAGGGGGCCCAATCTTCATGACCTTTAGAACCTGATTCCAAGCAAAAACCATTAGATTAACCAATCATATAAAGAGGTAGAGAGCAAAGAGAAAGAAATTTAAAAAAACCAAAATGAAATCCCAGTTACAAAGTAGGAAATATAAGAAACATATCCAAGACCCATAAAGGACTCAGATACCTATACACTAATACTCAAAGTTTGGGGATGCCTATGATAATAACTTAGAAGGCAGAATACACATATTCTTACCTATTTCTAAAAAAGTTAATTTCAAATTTTAATTGTAACATATTAATTTTTATATACTCTTTTTATATTTTGATGTTTTATTATACAGTACCCAGAGTCCTTCTTTGAGGTAGATGGGTGGTTTAGAAAAGTGAAAAATAAATAAGTGTTGGTGACAGTCAGTATTTATTCTCAGAGTATTAAGAAAAAGAAAGCCAGTTTAGTTTTGTGGTTAAGGCACCAGGCTAGAAAGTGGCTGACTGTGAGTTCTAGTCCTGCCTTAGCCATGAAGCCAGATGGGTGACTTTGGGCCACTCCTCATCTGTCCAACTCATCTCACAGGCTTGTTGTTGTTGTAAGGTAAATAGGAGGAGGAAGTTCTGTTGGATATGTTCACTGCCTTGAGTTATTTGTAAAAACAATAAAGGCATACCAATTTATTTCCACCATGTCAAAGCAAGTTTAGTAATGTGCAAAGAGGAAGTTTGGGAACAATTTATTTCAGAGGACTTGTCTCCAACTCTAATTCCTTCCCCCTCCCTGCCCCCTCATCTCATTCAAGCCAGTTTTGATCCTGTCTCACACTGTTCTGGAATCTAGGCTTGTTCAAAATGGGCTCCATATTTCCTAAAAGAAGTGAATAGCAAAGAAGGTATATGACAATCACAGTCTTCAGGATTCAAAGACTGATATTGTTGTGAGCATCCATGAACAGGGTTACCAGATATCTAAGCAAGCAAAGAAGGATGCTGACAACTAGAAAGGAGGACAAATGGGTGAAAGGGAGACATGACAACTGTTTAGCTTTCTTGACATCTACAACAAAATAAGAGTGAAAACTATGGGGGGAATAAAGTACTTAGGCTTCATGTATATGTAAAACTGCTTTTTCCAACATTGGAAAGATTGGTTTTTCAGTCAGGTAGGTGCTAGAGCCAGTTAGAAGAGCCTTCAGCATGTAACTGATTAAGTTCTTGTCAGTTTCAGATAGCAGCACAAGCCTGCAGGAAAATACTAATCAACTAATTAAGGTAACAGGGCAGAGCTTGTTACCTTGTAGTTAGCACTTACTAAGAAGCCCTGCACCCGGTAGATATGTTGTTCAAGAATAGCTTGAGAAATGCAAAAAAAAATCCAGATAATATTTATGCCTGCTGGATGAAGGACATGAGGATATGTCCTCCTGTCACCCAGCACCTGGTAACCTTATCCATGAGCCTCCAAAATATAAGGAATGTTGCTGCTATGCTTTTCATTTTCAAGAAAGCCACCAGATGGCTGGAACCTAATGATGACATTCAGTCATGTCCAACTCTTGGCGAATCTATGGGACCAGGTCTCTCCACATCTTCCAATCTTGCCCTGCTTCTTGCAGCTTTTCTATGCTCTGGCTGGTTTTAGACTTGACGGTGTCCAGCCACCATGTTCGTTGACAGACCAGTTTCCTTTACTGTGAATTCTTCCAAACATAACTGCCATCTCCAGTGAATTCCTGTAACCTAAAGCTGGAATCTAACAATCCCCAAAATGCATTGGAGTCTAAAATTGCCAGCACTTGCTCTGAATGAACTTAGGGTAGTCTGTAAGGATGACCAATTCAGATAGGCAGCTTCATACTATACTTCCACTATTCCATTACTCTGGTGCCATCATCTTTTCATACTGTTTCCTTGGAATCAGAGCAGATTGTACTGTTACTCTCTGGAAAGATCTTCTCATGTCCATCTATAAATCAGGCCCCAATAGGTCATGCCTGTTTTTGCAAGAAGCACCGGTCTGTAAACTTACCCTTATTTGTATGTTTAGAAACTTGTTTGAAGCTTCGAGTTTGCTTGCTTCTGCCTGCAAAAGGACACAGGATTTCTAAATTATCTCACTATATCTTTTCATCAGTAAATAATTACCAATCTTTTATCAAATATAGTTTAATATTATATTGGAGTCTAAGAATAAAAATAACAAAGCTGTTATCTTCAATAAGGGAGCACTTTGGTGTAGTGGTTAGGGCACCAGAAATTGGACGATGTATGTTCTAGTTCCACCTTAGGCTCAAAACCAACTTGTACTTAAAAAGAAAAAAAAGTCATCTGAGTCTTTTTCCAAGGAGTCAGAGATTTTGTGAAGTTACCCATAGTTACCTAATTTAAATGCTTGTTTACAACAAGCACTTTTGGACCTTTTGCTTAGCTATATCTAAAATGTCATTTCCAAGTGAGAGAAGTCTTTGTTTGTTTATCACATTTAAATGCCTGCCCATCTCATGATAAGTGACTCTGGATAGCATACAACAATTAAATAAAATAACCAATACATTAAAAAATCATTATTAAAAATTTAAAAGTCATTATTAAAATATAAAAACCATAAGGGACAGAATATTAACCACAATAGTGGAGCCATCTTAAATTATCACCAATCCCCTGGGATCCCCAGGCCAGATGACCTAGCCCAGGGTTGTCAAACTGCCGGCCCGCAGGCCAGACGCGTCATGTGGAAGCCGTGCCCACCCCTTTGCCAGCAATGGCAAAATCATCCCGATACATTGTGTGACATCACATGACGTCACAAATTTGACATATCTGACCTAGCCTGATCTTGGGGGACTTACAGACAGGGATGTACCTAACCTCACCTGAAGGGGATTTTATGGATTTTGTATTGATCTACAGGAGAAAATGCATTATGAAAAGATGATAATTGCCTGCTTGTGCCAAAGGATAATATAAATAATGCTCTCCTCTTACAGTCATGTACACATATATACTCTCCAATATATCCACAAGGGGATCATAACATCACAGAGTTATATTTAGGCTACCAAATCCAAACTCTTACTCAATGTAGGAAATCAAAACATCCCCCAAAGTTGGCTGGTCTTACAATAAAAATATAAAACAATACAATAATTAGTAAATCCAAATCTATTTTTTCAATTTAAATGTAAATACTAAAGCAATAAGCTAAAATCTATTGAATGCTATTCATTATAATTAAGTTCCAATTCCTGGAAGAGTTCAGATTTTCAATTATTAAATTATAATTAATTATTTCTAAGACTGAGCTGTGGCTAGTTAAGAATGGAACCACACCTAATCATCATACCTAAGGAAGGGGAGAATAAAGAATGGTGGAATATGTGAAACTCAGGCTTACCTGGGCAGGCTTTTCTTGTAAGCAGAAATTGTGGCTTGTTGTTAGATCTAAAAGAGACTATAGCATGAGGGGTCCAACAGTGGTTGGATTCAGCCAGTTCGCACCACTTCATCAGAAACGGTAGCTAATTTTTTGTTGCCCAGGCCCAGAGTGGGCTTCTGGAAGCGGCATCCACACAGAGAACTGGTTGTTCACATATTTGAATCCCACCACTGGGATGCTCTCTGAGCCTGGCTGTTTTCTTGCAGACATTCCATTAACCCAAACTAGGTTACATAGAGAGCACCAAGAATCCTCATTTCAACCCTGAGCTACAAATAATCTCCTTTATCAGTGAAAGGTAGTTTCAAAGCCCAGAAGCATCTTATTGCTACTCACCAACCTTAAACTTTATGCCTTACCTCTAATTCTTTCACAGTCTTTTGTTTAGCATTAATAATGCCACTGAAAGTCATCGTGTTTTTAATTTCTTTCTCAATTGCTTGAATTTCCTCCCATTTCATAATGATTTGGCACCTCAGAGATGTCAGCAGCTCAGCACTGGCTACAGAAGTTTCTTTTTCCCCTGCTCTGTCACCCTCTTCCTTTTCTGCAAGTGCAAAGAGAGGACAAGAACTTTGACTGAAGGGTTTCTCTTGAGACATTACATCAGGGGTCTTCAAACATGGCTCTTTTATGACTTATGGACTTCAACTCCCAAAATTCCTCAGCCAGACATGCTGGCTGAGGAATTCTGGGAGTTGAAGTCCACAAGTCATAAAAGGGCCAAGTTTGAAGACCCCTGCATTACATGAAAGGACCTGTTGACAAGGGCAATTAATGTGATGCACCCCTGGGGGAGGACAAGACAAGTCTCTCACTTGACCATTCTCCTGTTAGGTCTACAAGGCATACAATATATACATATACATATACATGTCCTTGATAACTGTATACATATACATACATACATACATACATACATACATACATACATACATACATACATACCAAAAGTGTAAAAATCATCGAACTCCGGGATAGGTATAAAAACAACTGTTAATTGCTAAGCTTTCGTTGGTCCCCTGCCGATGTCATCAGAGTGAAAGCCGGAGGTTGGAGAGTCTGCTTCTAAAGCCAGCTGTTTCAGCGCTCTGCTACCCACCTTTTGATATGAATACACCCGGAATTCGCATTTTTAAAGTAATTAGAGATACATACATACATACATACATACATTGTTGTTGTTAGTTGCGAAGTTGTATCCGACCCATTGCGACCCCATGGACAATGTTCCTCCAGGCCTTCCTGTCCTCTACCATCTTCTGGAGTCCATTTAAGCTCATGCCTACTGCTTCAGTGACTCCATCCAGCCACCTCATTCTCTGTCGTCCCCTTCTTTTATTGCCCTCAATCTTTCCCAGCATTAGGCTCTTCTGCAGTGAGTCCTTCCTTCTCATTAGGTGGCCAAAGTACTTGCGTTTCAACTTCAGGATCTGGCCTTCTAAAGAGCAGTCAGGGTTGATCTCCTCTAGGACATACACACACACACACACGCACACACACACACCAGCAGATTCTCATTCCATGCAATCTTATTACTTACTTGTTGCTGTTCTGCCTGTCTGGCTCACCCAAAGTTCAATTTCCAATTTGTTTCTAAGTCTAAAATAGAAAAAAAAGGAGAGAGAAACCTCTTATTAAATCCAAGCAAATTGCATGGTTTCTCCACCCAGTGAAGAAAGTGAAGAGCTGACTGTAGGAAATACCATTACTAAGTTTGCTAACAATGCAAGAACTGGCTCCATTTTGCATGCAGTTACTCTCTCCTTGTTGTTGTTGTTTTTGTGTGGGCAAAAGGGTGTCCTTCTGAACAAAGAAATAGGCTTGAAGTACATGTCCCTGTAATATGTCCTCAATCCATAGATTGGGTCCAGAGGCATTCTTAGAAAATAAATAGATAGAAATGTAGCAGCCACACACCAAATTTTAAAAGAATTAAGATAATATATATATTAAAATACTGAGTACATCAGGGAGCCTGATAGACAAGAAATGATGGACTCATGGATAGATTAGCATCCATGGCAGCATGCTGGGAAGCACATGTTTATGTTATGATGCCCTTGGCTGTGTGGCAAATGTTGTATGCGAGGTATAATTTGGAAGGAAGGAAGGAAGGAAGGAAGGAAGGAAGGAAGGAAGGAAGGAAGGAAGGAAGGAAGGAAGGAAGGAAGGAAGGAAGGAAGGAAGGAAGGAAGAGTATACAGTCCATGTCTTCAAAAAAGCAAATATAAATGTCAATGGCAAATGGTGATTATCTGCTTACAAAAAGGTCTGTTTCAAGTATGCACTTTAAGCATAAGTTGGTTCGAATATACATATGGCAAGGGAATGAATATAAATCTAAAAGCATGACTTAATTGTTTAATATAAAAGACTAAATGAGGTGATAAGAGGTTCTGAACGAAGGGCAGACCTTTTTGGATGGGAGGTTGTTTTTTAATATATAGAATCCAAAGTGGATCTTGGGAAATGAATGATGTGGGAAAAGATGCTGCACTGGACATACAAAAGAGAACGGTTGACATCTCAATAATTAAAAGTGATATACAAATAACAAACCAAGAGAGTGGCCTGGATAATTGTCCAGTATTAGGTTTACAAAAGAAACCTGTTAAAGCTCTGATTAATTTTGTAAGAAGGGACAAAGAAAAAAAAAGAAAAGAAATCAAGTTCTAGGGCAGAGGTCTCCAACCTTTTGGGCACCAGGGACCGGTTCCGTGGAGAAAGGTTTTTCTGTGGACCAGAGGGTGTGTGGTTTTGTGTGCTGCCTGCATCCCAAAGAGGGGGCTTTGCTTGATTGTGTGGACTGGTTGTTGGCATGCCGCAGCCCGGTACTGGTCCATGGACTGGGGGTTGGGGACCCCTGTTTTAGGGCATTATTTGAAAGGACCTAAAGATCAAGATTGGTAAAATTAAAGGAAGGAATATAAAATTGGTTTATTTGATTAAGGGTAAAATAAATATATTGTTATCTCTTCTAATCCTTAATAGACTTTTGCTGACCAGGGCTGAACAATGAAGCTTTAAGGATTTGTTTAGATAAGAGATAGGATATGGGAAGAAGAGATAATTTGTAGTATTTTTTTTTAAGTGATAAGTTACTAATACTGTTTACTTGTTGCAAGAAAGGGGTAAGTTACTTCTTTATATACTTATTTTCTTTTTCTTTATTATATTCTCTTTCTTTTTCTCCTTTTTTTTCTATATCTTCAATTTTTCTTTTTATAGTGTTATTTTTAGTTTGTGTTCACTTTTTATCATTGTAAATGTACCATTCCATAGCGCTTTACAATACTCTCTGAGCAGTTTACACATGTCAACATATTGCTCCCAACCATCTGGATCCTCATTTACCGACCTCATCCTACTGACCTTGGAAGAATGGAAGGCTGAGTCAGCATTGAACTCCAGGCTGTGGGCAGAGTTAGGTTGCAATACTGCATTCTAACCACTGTGCAACCAGGGCTCCTACTGCAAACTACAAATCTGCTCATGGGCTATTTAAATCCCACTGAATTTGATATAGTTTAAGAAGCAAAAGTGTCTCATGCATTTCATAACTGGAAACTGATAGAGTTTATTCATTTCTAAGAAGATTGTTATAATGAGTAACTGGTAGGCAATCATTCAGAACAACAAATTAGGCACATTTTCTTGGCTATAAAAATAATATTGTGAAATATGTGAAGATCTTTCAAATATCTGGCTGCTCATTTTCCAGATGTCATATAAATATTGCACATTTACACAACTCACTCTTCATTTCTTGCTAAAGCCAATTTGCTTTTCTGCACAAGGTCCTGTATTGTCTGTCTGCTCTCTTCTATTTCATGAGTCATCACCATTCTTTTCTTCAGGCCTTTGACTTGCTCTTGCAAGGTCTATTTTGTTACCAAAAAAAATGAAACTAAGTGAAATATTTAAATCATAAAGAAAGGTAATATCTGTAGCAAAGCCAACATGCATTTTTTCTTAATTGGACATCTTGCAAATCTGTCTTTCCTACCAAGAATTAAGATTTAGTTTACAACCAAGTTGGGGAATCTATAGATTAACCCTATAGATAATGTTGATGTCCAGTGCTTAGTTACAGCCTATAAAGTCAATAAGGAAGAATCCTGGGATTTGCCATTCAAGACATCATGATTACTACTTCCCCAACACCATAGTACAACTTTCTTTTCCTTTTGATGGAATAATATAAATCAGTAGTATTAGGCACAATGCTTATATAAAGCTATCATAACAAAAACAGATTCTATGATATGCCAGTTATCACACTTCCCCTAACACTTAGACAAAAGTTCTGATCACTTGTCATGGAAAACAATATTTTTTATATTATATTTTCGCATAGATAGAATAAGTTCTCATTTGTTATACATCATTTGAGTGCTGAATATACTTCACTACTAAATGAATGAGCACTACTGGAAAACATAATGTCTGCAATGATGTGTGATGATTTGAAAGGACTATCAAGTCTCAACTAAGAAGCGTTGAATGAAAGTGCTTTTCTTAACAGAAGTTGTACAAGGTGTACAAGAGCCTGGAAGAAAGTTAGTTTAATACCAGTGATTATTTATGGTGACAAATACATTAGCTGTGCTGTGTCTGTGTGTGCATGCATGTGTGTGGAGAGAGAGAGAGAGAGAGAGAGAGAGAGAGAGAGAGAGAGAGAGAGAGAGAGAGAGNGAGTTACTGCACGTTTTTCAAGACTAGTTACAAATGCAGAACATCTTGAAATACAACGCAGCAAGATATAGACTAAATTGAAAGATGGAGTAGATGAAAGGACTGTTTTTGGAGGAATGTTTTCAGTGATTCTCCACTTAGTACATTTCGAGGAAAAGTCCAACAATTAGCCTGTTGTGTTATATTTGCATGAAGATGTCCCTCTGCGTGTTATTCTAAAGAGAGCAGTTCCAAAATCTGATTTCCTCACTAATGATAGCCTAAATTTGTGCAAACTGTTCAGCCCCTTCAGTTGGACACTGTAAGACAAGTGTACTAGTAAGCAGAATCTATTAGATACGAAAAGAAATCCCAGATTAAAGATGAAAATTAAATAAAAAATACTTGGGTAATATGGGACATCTAGAACATGATTCATGACAATAAGTCATCCATTACATACCACTATGAAAAAATAAAAACTAATCCTTTTACAACAAAAGAGTTCCGGCGGTAAGCATTAATTTACATCAAAAGAAAATAGTATTACTCTGTATTGTGTTGCAGGCAAAGAATCCAGCAGGATCACCATGTAAAGCTCATATTCATTCTGTAGAAAACAGCCAAAAAAGATCAGTAGGAAAGAGTTTGCCAGACAATTAAACAAAATCCAAGTTTAGTGCAAGACACACTAAAATCAAACCGTGATTAAATTATCACAATTCTAAAATACATTTGCCCACTGAGTTACTTAAATATTGTACATTTCCGCCTTTATATTAACTGATGATAAATTAATTGGTTGGAGTTTTATGCATGTTTTACAAAAATAACTGCTACTGTATAAACTCCTTTAAGTATTTACAGAATTTTTGCTTCATTTTTGTGGTAATTTGTGTATTATCAAGCAAAATGGTTTGTCAGAAACTACTGAAATTATGGTACTATTTAAACATGAAACATTTAAGCATAGTCACTGGTTCCTTTCAAACAGCAATAACATGCCAAAATCTGTATGAGCAAATTACATTCCAATAGTATTTCAAAATATCTATGATGGAAATACATACATTCACCCCTCTTCCACCATCTGTTTAATGCATTGAAGGTTAATTCCAAGTTACAGATCAGACCCTGAACATATCAAGAAGCTATGAAGATTTTCTCCTTTCTACTTCTTTTCTTCACATTGAAGGGCATCTAATTTCACTCCTGACATTGCAGGACTTTCCCTTCTCTTCTCTTCTCTTCTCTTCTCTTCTCNTCTCTCTCTCTCTCTCTCTCTCTCTCTCTCTCTCTCTCTCTCTCTCTCTCTCTCTCTCTCATCTCTCTCATCTCTATCTGTATCTCTTCCTGCCTTTATTATTTGTATAAAGAAAGCAGAGAAGATACCTAATACTCCTTCTTTCTCCTCTTTTACCCACAACAACTGTGTTAGGTGAGTTGGGCTGAGAAAGATTGACACTCCCAAAGTTACCCAATTGGCTTTCATGCCTAAGGCAAGACCAGAACTCACAGTCTCCTGGTTTCTCACCTGGTGCCTTAACCACTAGACTAGGCATGACAAACTGCCGACCCGCGGGCCAGATGCGTCATGCCAAAACCGCACCCACCCCATTGCCAGCAATGGTGGGAAAGTCGCAATACATCACGCGATGTCATGTGACATCGTAAGTTTGACATGCCTGCACTAGATCCAAGTAGGCCTTTTATAGAACATTTATATTTATAGAAATTTTATAGAATATTGTTTTATAGAACATAACCTTTTATTAATCTTTGCATCGAGTTGGCTGAGTTACCTAAGACACTTTAAATACTAGGCACAACACTTACTTTCACTTCCTTCAATATGTCACCAAATATCAAGGAACTATTACAGATATCTTCAAACACTTGACCAATAGCCTGTAATCGGTAGAAATGTGGACCTCTGCAGTCACAGATATTCTGGAGTGCCTGAAAGACAATCAATTTACAAGGTTACTTTAGTTATCTTGGCTTGATTTCTACATGCAGTGTATGAAGCAAGTAAAAAAATTATTATGATCAATATATATAAAATTTCTTCTTCGGAGGCAATTTCACTCCTCATGACTTCCCAGATACATCTACAATGTTTCCTTGGCAACAGTTCAGAACAGTTTGTCTTTGCCTTCAGATTGTGGTGCATTTTGTTTTGTTTGACTGCACAGTCTAGAAACTGGGTGCTGCCCCTAAATGGTATTAAGATATATCTATTCGACCGCATAGAAACCGTCTTGGGAAATCCCACAAGATTCCAATTTTCTACTTTTTTTTTTTAATTTATAGGGAGTCTCTGGGAAGGATCATACCTGGATTTGAAGTCACTTTCTAACTTTTCTTACCCTTCCTGGAAGCTCAAAGCTGAAGATTGCAAGAACCTTTCCCTAAATGCACGTTGTAAAATGTGGCACACATGGGAGACTGGTTTGACTCCCAAAACCTGGAACCTCCTGGCAACATACCCACCGAGTGCAATTAATTCGGGTGGGAGGATCATTTAAGGCCAGCAAGGATACATGCTTGTTTTAATCCCTTTTTAGTAATTAAACACACACACACACACACACACACAAAGAAGGAACAATTCGCATCTACGTTTGAACATAGATATAATTTGTCTTTAATATGAGTCCATTTCTAAAATCTTTAACAGAAAACACTGAAGACCAATAAGAATGATTTTGAGCCGTCAACACTACTGATGCTGAAAGTTACAGTTCATGCATCTGGAGTGAACCAGCATAGAATTAAGCCCCAGGCATAACATGTGGTTTATCTGTGACTTTTCATATATCAATCCACAAACATTATAATTCTATTGGACCCATTGACTTACCTGGGCCAACTTTTTTTCATGGCGCTCTGTTGACTTGCTCCCAATGAAATCATTCTCCAGCAAATCCTGTTTGGCAATGTACTCCTTCTGAACTTGCATGAACTTGTTATATTGGTCCTTTTTAGTCACACCAGCCAAATAGGAAGGTAAGAACCGGTATTCATCTTTAAACTCCTTCGTGACGCAAAGCCTGCTGTTCTTGAGTCGTCTGTATTTCAACAATTTCATTTCTGGAATGTCCAGCTCTTCTCGTATAAGCTGCTTTTGAAATATGCCGGCTTCATCTTGTGGTTTCTCAGGAGCCTCCTTCTTTTGTAGCTTGAAAGCAGCGGTACTGAGTGACACGCTTACTGGTGTTCTAAAGCTGGCCGGGTGGATTGGGGACGGATAACCCAATGGGGAAGCAGATTTGGCACGGACGGGCACTGGAGGAACATCCTTGCTGCTGCTGCCCTTTTCCAGCACTTCATGGGATCCCTCAAGGGCATCCTTCTTGGCAGACCGTAAGGTGGTTCTTTTGGCACTCTCCCAATAGTTGTATTTTGTAGATTTAGGGGGCTTGAAGAGTTTATTATGGTTTAGATGGCCTGACACATAGAGACGGATCTCAGATTTGTGAGCCTTTTCCACTTCATCTAAAAGCTCTGCCAGTTGGGATTTTTGCTTCCTTTCCGCCATATGAAATGTTAGTCCCTGTAGGCACAAAGAAAATCATCAGCAAGCCCCAAAAGGAAAAACACATCTCAACATCTTTCATTTTCCCCCAGACTATTTGTCTGAAATGTGCATCACATACTTTACCTTGATAGATAAAAGTATGTGATGCACATACTTCACCTATCAAGGCTAACTATTGGATAACTATTTGTCTCTGTACATGGGGATCAATAGATGTAGCCTCTTCCCTGGGCTGCAAAATGCTAACTTTTATTTCCCAAGCATTATTTCATTTCCAGCAGAGGGCTTTGTCAAACTTACTAATCCATTTTACATCATAGTGCAATGGAGAAGAGAAAGCTAAATGCAAACGGTAAGGCAGATTTTATGAACACAAACAATATGTGCCGAAATTTACTTTGCATAGGCTCTGGGAACAGTTTTCAGTAAACTTTGGCTAAAGCAAAGTTGCACATTTTTCTTTCACTGTTACCATTTGTGCAACTATGTTTGATGATTGCACTTTGAGAATTGTGTAAGCCCTTAGCATTCCAGTCCCCCCTGAGACATGAAGCTACTTGGGTGACCTTGGGCCAATCACCCTCTCTCAGCCCTTGGAAGGAAGCAAAGGCAAACCACTTCTGAAATCTTGCCAAAAAAAACTTTATGGACTTGACCAGAAAACCATCAGAAATCAACTGTGACTCCAAAAAAAAAAAACCCAATTACCATTACAATTACAAAAGAACTGTTGAGCTAGGTTTTTTTTTTTTAGAGAACCTATAGATCTATCTTCCCAAATGCATCTTAAGAAAATGGATCAAGATTATTTTCCACTCCAAAAAGATCATTTGAAGAACAAAAAGCAGATGGATGTACAGTAAATACGTCAGCTTTTCAGAGCCAATTTAAAACAATTTAACATGCAATTTTTCCAACTAATTTTCCTTGGAAGGGAGCTTTGGGTGAAATAAAGGAAATTATTAAACTATTAAAATGTTCCCTGTGGAAAATAGATTATACTTTAGGAACGAAGGCAGGCTAAATCCTAACCATTTACTATAGTTTCCAGTATCAGAGTAAGAAAAGTCACCACAGATTATTAGCACAGGTTAAATAGTCTCTCCCTAGTCTATGAAAAGGGCTATAAATGTGAAGGCATTCTCAACAATTGATAATCTTCCATTCCTTATGTCCATAATAGCTTAAGAGATACAAAAGAAATGCAAATCTTAGCAAACATAATAGTTTATTTTCATTTTGCACCCTTCATGACAGAGAATGGAAATCATTTTGAGACTGTAGATTTGGTCTCAAGAGTTTGGTGGGTAGGATCAAAGTGACAAAGCAATCTTATCAGAGGGTGTGTAGCTAAACTTTTCCACCCTCTTTTAATTGGATTGGGTAATTTCCAGTGAAAGTTTATTAGAACTAGGGGTTCTTCTAAAAGAGGTGTGGCTCCATCCCAGTAGCACTCTCTTACCCCATTTTCCCATACTCTGACTGGACATGTATGATTTCACACGTCCAAATCTCTTAGGAGATGGGTCTTATTGGGTATGTCTAGTTTAATGAAAAGAAAGACTAGGGGTAACAGCAGTGTTGCAATATCTGTTCTGTCCCAGCCTACGTGAGTCCTTGTTAAGCTCACAAGGAGAAACCCCTCTTCCAACAAGCAGGCTGGAACCGCAGGAAAAAACCAATCCCCTTTTATTATTCACAGACCTGAGTCAATGTCCAAGGCAAACAAACACATTTCACAGAAACTTGATCCTCAACATGAACGGTTGCCTTTGGCAACCAGCACCTCCCACACCTTCCCTTTTATTATGCAGCCAAGGCGTGCTTCCTAATGCTTTCTCCTTTACCATTGGAGCCGCCCCATTCCATTCCTCTGTCCTACTCTCTTTTCTTGCCAGCATTTTTGTGCATCCTGGATATCTTCCAGCTGTGATTCATCACTGTCCAACTCAGACTCCCAGCACACCTGTGTCTCAGCCTGAGCACGCATAGAGGGGCCAGGCTCCTTGTCAGACTGTAAGTCTTGAAGCTCCTCAGAGCCTTCCTCTGACTCTGATGTCACTCCAGGCCCCTCCTCCTTCTCTGATTCCTCAGACTCAGCTGCCGGGTCCACCGGCTGGCAAGGAATCACAACAATGTCTAAGGGGCTGCTGCAAAGAAGAGGGGGGTCAACCTATTCTCCAAAGTGCCTGAAAGCAGGACAAGAAGGAATGGATGGAAACTAATCAAGGAGGGAACCAACCTAGAACTGAGGAGAAATTTCTGACAGTTAGGAAAATTAATCAGTGGAATGACCTGCCTCCAGAACTTCTGGGTACTCCAACACTGGAGATTTTTAAGAAGAGATGGGACAACCATTTGTATGAAATGGTATAGGTCTTCCTACTTGAGCAGGGGATTGGACTAGAGAAACTTCAAGGTCCCTTTCAAGTCTGTTATCCCGTGATTCAGTTTTCTTGTCCTTTCATCATGCAGTTATATAGAAAAAAAAGTTATTTCACTTCAATGACACAGAGCTGCTGTCAAGGTATGAAACATTTTTAAACACTGTGTCATTGAAAAACACATCCTTTTACCATTGAATTGGAGAGGAAAGCTCTTGGAGGCAAAATAGGACATAAATTGCCCATTCTCATCTTAAAAAGAATAGTAATACCAGTAGAGCTGGTAGGAGCAGATTATGCAGTGGTAAAGAATCAAGTATAGTTGAAAATTATTTTAGAGTTCCCTGAGGTAAGATCAGTGACAAATTTTATGAATAAAAATAATAATTACAAATAATAATAAAATTATATACAAATTTAAATGTCCATTTGAGGAGATATACAGTAATTATATCCTTGGAAAATGTTCTCCATTCATGGCAGGCATTTTAAGCTTCCTTCTTACAAAAAATTAACATGAATTTAATTTTTAAAAACTAACAACCCACTGCCATTACCAACACCATTTTTCTATTGCATGAGTCTTCTATAAGCTAATCAAGTTCACTTTGTCAGCATGAATAATCTTTGCTGTTTGGGGGATGGGTCTCTAAATGTTGTGTTTTTTTAAAATTAATTAACTGACTTAATTTTATGTTTGCATTTTGCAAAAGGTAATGTAGCTTCTATTTCCTCCTGGCCATGCCATATACAGGCCCTCAGCAAGTTGGAAAATACATGTTCTATATCTTCATTATACATTACCCTTGTCCAATGACCAATGCCATTTTGTTGGTATTTAATCTGGCATGCGGCTTACTGCACTTGTAAACTTTCAACTGGATTCAGACGGCATCAAAATTGAATGGATGAATGAATGAATAAATAAATAAATAAATATCTCTAAGCACCAGGTATAACAGAGATACAGGTAGTCCTTAATTTACAACCATTCATTTAATGAACACATTTACAATGGCACTGAAAAAATTAACTTATGACTGGTTTTCGCATTTACAACTGTTGCAGCATCCCCCGTAGGCACCTGGCAACTGGCCATGTATTTATGACAACTGCACTGTCCTGCGTCATGTGATCACCATTATGACCTTCCCAGCCAGCTTCTAACAAGCAAAGTCAATGGGGGGAAGCCAGATTCACTTAACAACCATATGATTCACTTAACAAATGCGGTTATGTGCTTAACAATTGGACAAAAAGGTCTTAAAATGGGACACAACTCACCTCACAACTGCCTTGCTTAACAGTGGAAATGTTGGGCTTAGTTGTGTTTGTAAGTCAAGGAATGCCTACAATCAGCAGAGGAATGCTGCAGTTTTCTTTACTTCCTTGTCTAGAAGACTTACTCATTACTTAGCATATATAACATGCCTCCTGATGATTTGACTGATTCTTTCAGAACTAATCCATTACTTCCCGTTCAGTTTAGCACCTCTTGTCTTCTGAGTTTGATTTGTACAGTTTGGTCCTCCATGATCCAAAAGAGACCTTACAGATTCTTAGCTGTAGAAAGGCTTAAGTAACTCAGGCTTTCCTATCACTATGTTATTTTTCTAAATAAAGTTTATCATTGTTGGGTTCTTGGAATTCTCTGAGTTTGCGTTGCTACAGGCATATGATCAATTTTGAAATCCCAGATGAATATGCCATCAGAGTTTCAAGAGTCTGGTTTTTTTCCCCAAACAGAGATTCTTGAAGATTTCCTGGGATAATAGAATTTTTGAGTAATTTTGAAGAATAAGCTCCTTTGAAACCTGTGGTCAGAGCTTCAAGTCCCTTTATCATCTACAAAAATCTGGAAATTAAGAAAAGATGTTGGGACTCTAGAAAGAGTACAGAGAAGAGCAACAAAGATGATTAGGGGACTGGAGGCTAAAACATATAAGGAACGGCTGCTGGAATTGGGTGTGTCTACTTTAATGAAGAGAAGGACGAGGGGGGACATGATAGCAGTGTTCCATTATTCCAGGGGCTGTCACAAAGAAGAGGTAGTCAAGCTATTCTCCAAAGCACCTGAAGGCAGGACCAAAAGCAACGGATGGAAACTAATCAAGGAGAGAAGCAACCTAGAACTAAGGAGAAACTTCCTGACAGTTAGAACAATTAACCAGTGGAACAACCTACCTCCAGAAGCGGTGAATGCTCCAACACTGGAAGTTTTTAAGAAGAGACTGCACAGCCATTTGTCTGAAATGGTATAGGGTTTCCTGCCTGAGCAGAAGGTTGGACTAGATGACCTCCAAGGTCCCTTCCAACTTTATTATTATTATTATTATTATTATTATTATTATTATTATTATTATTATTATTATTATTATTATTATTATTATTATTATTATTATTATTATTATTATTATTATTATAAATATTCTGCAGAGTCTTGCCAATGGACCCAGTTTAAATCTGCAGGGATAGGTGGTGTATATTCATATGAATTTGTAGACCCGTGACCCACTTTCTTGATATTAGGCAGCTAAATGAGCCACCAGAAATGCTTTTTTGATGTAAATGTTGATGTGGACTTCTGAGAGGCATGTACAACCTGCATTCCAAAAGGACCAGGATTTAAATTAATTTGAGTTCAGTTAATATGATAATATGATTATTCTGTATTTAACTTTGCTTTCCAGTTCTGTCACATTAAATTACTATTCACAGCAATTTCTGAAGGCTCTCTTGGATTCATACTCAAGACTTTGGAGTAAGTGACGCATATGATTCTGAAATCACAGATTATATAGTATTACGGTAAGTCCTTCTAAAGCAGAGCTCCGTGTCCTTCTTTCTCTCCCTCCTCATGATACTTCTGTTATCTCTTCTGCC